CTGGGCAGGGGCACGGCTCGATGGTGAGCCTCTTGGCCTCGGGCCGGGCGCCCGCGCGGGCCGGCCCCGCCCCTCCGGGCGCGGCCAGCCAAGGGGGGACCGCTCCGCATCGCACCACAGACATAGACGCGCACATACACATACACACATACGCACATACACATACACACATACACACACGCGCACACACGCACGCACGCACACAACACACAACACACAACACACAACACACAGCACACAGCACACAACACACAACACACAACACACAACACACAACACACACGCACACACGCACACACGCACCCACGCACCCACGCAGACACGCAGACACGCAGACACGCACACACGCAGACACGCAGACACGCAGACACGCAGACACGCAGACACGCACGCACGCACACGCACACGCACACGCACACGCACACACACACGCACACGCACACGCATAAACACACGCACACCCACACTTTGTGTCGGCGGCTGGGCAGAGGGCGACTGCTCCGGCAGATTGGCAACACACACACACACACACGCACACACACACTCGCTTTTTGCGTCCGTCGTCGGCTGGGCAGAGGGCGATTGCTCCGGCGGATTGGCAACACACACGCACACACGCACACACGCACACACACACATGCACACGAAGCCGCAACTAAACACGCACACGAAGCCGCAACTAACTTGGCGGCGCGCGCAAAGGGGTAGGGGGAGGATCGAGGATCGAGGAACGTCCGCCGACGACGCGGCCGCGGCAGGCCCACGCGCGCGCCCTCGGGCGCGCTCCGCTGAACACCATCACGTGCGTGTCCGGGGGGTAGCGGGGGGAGGCTTCTCAGAAAGAGGCTGCTTCTTGGAAGCCGCCGGCCTTGCGTCTACAGACGAGGCCCGCGCTTTTTCAGAAACAGCCCCCTTCGAAGTTCTGGGAAGCCTTCCCCCTCCCCCCACCCCCATCAGCGCTCTGCGCGTGACTGATGGACGGCGCAGTGGCTGAGCAGACCCACGCATTCACACTTGCGGGAAGACTGTCGAACCCACGTGGGGCGTGCAGGGCGAGAGGGCGCGCTATCACCCACCAGCGCTGTGGCGGTGACCCGCTGCTCGGCGGGCCAAATGTTGTCGGAGTGCGCGCCACCTCGGGCTGCACCGGCACGGAGTGGCTCGGGATCGGCCGCATGGGGCTGCTCGGCCGGATCGGGATGGACCCTGCGAGGGGCTTAGGGGGCTGCCCTGGCCAGGGGGATATCCATCACCAAAAAGAGTCCCTGGGACACACACGCACAATTTAAAAAACACAAATCCAAGGATTCCCCATGTTTTCATGTATGTTCTGGGTTTCTGTCTTCCCCCCTCTTCCTATGTTTTCGCATATTCTCCTGGGAATCGACGGTTATTTGCGTCTGTGTGGAAATCGGGAAACCGGGTCGCATCGGAGTGTGCGCGGGATCGGGCTGCATCGGCACGGAGCCGAAACCAGAACTGATCATGGGAGGAGGAGGAAAGCAATGGCAACGGCCTCTCCCCCAAAGCCAGGCAACGGCCAAAACCAGCAACAAAGCAACAAGTCATGTATTTTTGTTTCCCTTTTCTGGGTCCCCAGGGCCCTCCGCGGGCCTCGGGGCCGTCAAGAAACGACTCAGGATAAAGGGCTCGTGCAAGGAAAACCGCAGGAGACCCCGCTTCCGTAAGAAGCCCCTTCGCCTCCGTGGCGACAAGAGCTGCTCGGCCGTGCCTGCACTGGTTGCTGTTTTCATGGACTCCGCTTCTCTTTTTCTGTTCAAGCCGACATTATTTGAGAAGGGCCCAACGTACCCCCAGAACGACGTACCCCCAAGACGATGTACCCCCAGGACGACGTAATCCCAAGACGTCGTACCCCCAAAACGCCGGAGATCCAATCATATTATTCTGGCCAGACTTCCGTACAGTTGCCGGAAACATTAAAAAACATCGTTATGTACGAATGTATCGCATGGCGCCGCCTGGCCGGAAACCGAAACAATCCCCGTACAAAAAAACAATGAATCGCTGCTCGCGTGCTGGTGACGCCCTTGTGGTTATTGCTCCTGCAGAGCGTGCGGACTGCAACGACACGGGCGACACCTGCGTGCGGACGGCGAATTGTTCGGCGCGCGGAAACGGATTATTCCACATGACCCCGGTGAAATGCGAAAACTGCACAGGCTGCATGATCCAGATGGCCCATATCACCAGCATGGGCCGCATGGGATGCGGGGGCCGCAGGGCCCTGCTGGAAACCAACCCCCGTTGCAACTTGGCCCCGCGCCGACTAGCCAAGCATCCCGGGGAGCGCAAAGCCGACCGGACAAACCAACCAACCAACCAACCAACCAACCAACCAACCAACCAACCATCCAACCGACCAACCAACTCACTGGATTCCCATGTGCGCCATGTTTTCTGGGCACGTCCCGCTGTGAGCGTCCGAGTGGGAGCGCATTAGCCTGTGGCAACTGAGCGTTCTCTAGCGGCTATCCTTTGGGGTGCCCAGGTGGCACGTCTGCTGCACCGCGGTGATCACCTAGATAACAGGGTCCGTGGGTGCTAGAACCCAGTGGCTCTCTTACTGTACCCCCACAATCAAGCTGGGAACGGGCAGATGCAACGCACCATGGCGGATCCTCGACTAGCGTGCTCCATTGCTGCGTATAGTATCTGTATATGTATATATACACATATACACATACATGCATGCATGCATGCATACATACACACACGTATACACACATCCAAACGTACACACGTATAGATACGTGCGGAATGAACTTGCTCAGCCTCGTTTGCCCTGCACCTCGCCCTGCGGGCTCAGCAGTTTGCTGGTGGCGGTCTAACCTAGATCGTTCTTCTACGTGCCGTGCCTCTTCGGCCCACCTGGGCGGCCTCGCTGCGTTTTCCCCGGCTTGAAAAAAACCTATCCATCCCTCGCTGACGGCTTCACTGCGGGCGCCCTTGCATTCCGCGCACTGGGCCTCGTCAGCGCCCAAGGATGCACGCGCGCCGCGGCCCGGCAGCTGCCGCGGCCCCCGCTGCCGAGACTGGCCGCTTCAGCGCACCCACGATGGAATTCTTCAGCCTCTGAATGCCCCCTCCTTCCTCCTCCCCCGCGGTCGCCCCGCGCGGCTTAGCTTCCTCACCTGACCGATGGGAAATTCGCTCTTCTGTAGCCCCGTTAAGCCCGACCGCTGGTCCAGCAACTCTGCCTCGCCGACGGAAAAAATGTCCAGCCTCAGTGCCCGTGATTCTGAGTGCGGGTGGGTCTGAATACCACAAGGTTTGAGCGCGGCTGTGTCCTAGCAAGGGTAGTAAGTCGGAATATGCATGAGTTTGGGTATCCATGGGTCTGAACGAGCGTGATCTGAACGCGGCCAGTATGAATATGAACGAGTATGCACAATAAGGAGCAGTGCGTGAACGTCTCGTGTGCATGAGCCTAAGCACGCCTAAGCTGAGTCCGCGTCGGACTGACTGTGGGCAAGGGGAAGCCAGCTGCTCCTGAGCGCGAGCGGGCCAGCGCCCCTCTCGTTGGCCGTCGCTGAAGCGTCGGCTTGCAACGTTATATCGCGGTGATCATGCGCCCCCCCCACAAGAGGCGATTCCCGTCCGCAAAACGAGCAAACCGCCTAACACATCTCCACGACATTCGCGCGAGAGGGGCAAACATCATACATCATGCCGGTTTGCCCTTGGGGTGATATGGTGCCACGCCAGCTACATCGCGGCGGTCATTCGGTTGTTCAGCTAAACATGTAATCTGACCCAAGGAACGTGCAAACCGACTGAGACATCCACCACGATGCGGTCGCAAACGGGCACAGCCCTTTCTGGGATGACTCCATGCCATGCCAGCCTTGTCGCGGCGACCACGCGGCTCTCAAGAGAGAAGCGTCTGTCCTGCACGACGGGCAGACCGACGCGATCTGGGCGCGAATGGGCAGGTGTGTTGTTCCCTGGCGGCTCCTGCTCGGGGTGCCCGAGTGGGCCCCTGGGCATCGCGCGTTGGCCATGCGTCTTTTAGACTAGATGTGTACGTCTTGCCCAACAAAAAAACAGCCTGCTGTCCCCAGCACCACCGTCCTCACCACCACTGTCCCCGGTGTTCCCACCACCGTCACCACTGTCCTCACCAGTGCCCCCACCACTGTCGCACTGTCCCCACTGTCCCCACCACTGTTCCCACCACGGTTCCACTCCCCACTTTCTCCACGGCCCCAACCACTGCTCCGCTGTCTCCACTGTCTCACTGTCCCACTGTCCCCGCCGCTGTCCCAATGAGCTGTCCCATTGTTCCCACCACTGTCCCTAAGTTACCTCTGTCCCATTATCCCACCGCCGTCCTCGCCACCGCCCTCACCACTGTCGCCACCACCACTGTGCCCTCCACTGTCCCACTCTTTCCACCAGATTCCCACTGTCCCCACACCACTGTCCCCACTACCACCGTCCCCACCACTGTCCCACTGTCCCCACTGTTCCCACCATTGTCCCCGCTGTCCCCACCAGTGCCCCCACCAGTGTCTCACTGTCCCCACTCTCCCCGCCACCACTGTCCCACCACAACTCCACTCTCCCCACTTTCCCCACGGTCCCCACCACTGTCCCACTGTCCCCACTGTTCCCACCACTGTCCCACTGTCCCCGCCGCTGTCCCACTGTGCTGTCCCACCGTCCCCACTGTCCCCATCACTGTCCCACTGTCTCCACTGTCCCCACCACTTTCCCTACTGTACCACTGTCCCACCACTGTCCTCACCACCGCCTTCACTGTCCCCACCACTACCGTCCCCACCACTGTCCCACTGTTCCCACCACTGTCCCGCTGTCTCCTCACCACTGTCCCCACCACCACCGTCCCCACCTCTGTCCGCACCACTGTCCCACTGTCCCCGCACCACTGTCCCCACCACCACCGTTCCCTTCCCACCACTGTCCCAACATCCCCATCATTCTCCAACTGTCCCGAGGAGATGGCATCGTTTGTCGGCGGCGAAGGGGGGGGGGTTCGAACCGGTAAGAACCCCCCCCGGTTTTCAGGGGGGGGGTCGAACTGGTAGTGACCCCCCCCCGGTTTTCGAGGGGGGCGGGGTTCGAACCGGTAATGACCCCCCCCCCCTTTCATGATGGACTGGGGGACGGGTTAGGAACCCCCAGTGACCCCCCCGGTTTTCCGCCAGCAGCGGTAGAACACGCTCTTTCCAATGTATGCATCGGTCAGTTCCTACTCCTCCTCCTCCTCCTCCTCCTCATCCTCCTCCTGGTCCTCCTCACCCACGCTATTTTTATGGTCAGGTGGCGCGTAGGTTTCCTTGCGATTTCTGTATACGAGCGTCGGGAAGTGAGCGGGTATGTTAGAAACTGGGTGAGCCGAGACATCCTCGCAATATGAACGCGACAGCGCCCGTGATGTACCCTCTAGCGGCCCCCCCTTGCAGTCCCCATATGCCACGCCTGCTACATCACGACGACCACGCAACCCTGAACCATAATAAACCCAACCAAATCATGAAAATCAAAGTTCCGCATGAAGCATCCCCACAAATTGGGCGCCAATGGGTCAGTGCCCTACCCGCTATTACAGTGCAGTGGTCACACACCCCTGAACAGAGACACGTCTGCCTCTTAACAATCAGCGTTTCGCGTGAGATATCCGCACAATCTGGACACTGACGCGCATGTGTCGCCCTGGCGGCTAACTCTTGTAGAGCCCACGTCGTATGTCTACCACATCGTTGCGGCGCCTGCGAGGCCCTAAAACGAGACGCGTCGACATTCCCAAAACAAACGGTTCGATTGACATATCCCCACAATCTGGGCACGACCGCACCGATGATGCCCCTGTGGCGCCCAAACATGATGACTGCTGCACCGCGATGGCCACGGCTCCAAAACACACGCTTGACTTCCGTAAGCCACCTGTTCGCAGGGGGTGTCCCCACAATCTGGGCGCCAACGGGCAAGTGTTCGACCCTCTGGCGCCCTCCCTCCCTCTCTGGGGTACCCAAATGTTCGCTGTCTTCGTGGCGGCCTGAAAAAAAGCACGCCCACCTCAAAAAGCCAGCGTCTCGCGTGAGATATCCCCGAATGCTGGGCGCCAACGGGCAAATGTTCTACCTCGTGATCGCTCCCCCTTGTTGCGCCCAAGAGCTATGGTTGCGACATCGCGAACACCGCGCGGCCCGTAAAACAAGCGAACCGCTGGAGACATCCCCACAATCTGGACACGAACCGATAAGTGACCTATCCCCTGGCGGCATCCCCTTGTGTTGCCCAAGTGCTGTGCCTGTCGCATCGCGTTGGTTCCGATCGTGAGATGAAGAAGGAAGGATGAGGAGGAGGAGGAGGAGGAGGAGGAGGAGGAGGGAGTGAGTAGACGGAGGCGCGATACGGATAAGAAGAATTGGAAACACTACGCAACAACTTCCACGAAACGTGCAACTACCTGCACAATGATCCATTATGACCGTCGCGTTCGCACGGACCCTTATGACCATTGTCCCGCACGCGTTCGACGGAAAGTGGCGGCAATCGAAGTGGCCCGATCTGCTGGTACATCACATCGATTTTGAGTTTCGTCAAACGTGCGTTTGATTGGTCCACGTCGTCCAGCCCCCCATCTGAACCAAAAACGCCAATTTCTGCTGAGACATCCTCTTGACTAGCTCTTAAACTGGCCACGACTCGCAAGTGACGCTGGCGGTGTGCTGCCCGCGCCGAAGCGAGAACGCCGTTTGGCCGGACTTTCGGCCATTGTACGGAAATTCGGCCCGCATGCTAATATCCTCTTGCGCAAGAATTCCCATCCTCCTGAAAAGCCAATTGCTCAAGGCAATAATAACAAAAGATAATTACTACGGGGGTCCCTACCGCGAAAACATGTACCACAGTACCCCGCGCTAGGGAGGCCTTACGACAATCTCTCTTACCCAGGACCCCATTACTAAAGGCATCATCACCGCACGGAGCCCTTATGAGAAGGAAGTGATTCGAAAGCACCCTCCACTAAGGAGCCCTGAGTAAAAGCATCCGTACTGAGAATCGATTGACAAACATATCAAGGGTCTGTACCAAAAGGGCTCCTTCCCGAATCCAAACTTATGATAACAAATCCTCCTGAAGGAGACCTTACTAAAAACACTCTTACTAAGGATACCTTAATTCAGACATCATTACCAAGAGGCCCTTACTAAAGTACACGTGGAACATGAATCCTTGCCACAAGGTACCTTCCTGAGGGGATCCGAACTAAGGGCATCCTTACCGTACTCAGGCCCCCTTGCAGAAGGTATCCATCGTAAGGAACCCTTCCTAAGCGGTAGTCTTACTACAGGGGTCTTTACTACAGGGGTCCTTGCTGAAAGAACTCGTACTGCCAAGCACCTAAGGAGCCCTCACTAAAAGCATCCGTGTTCATGATCCTTTAACTAAGGTATCCTGGCTCAGGTATCTGCATCCTTCTTAATGAGCCAGTGCTAAAAAGAAGCCACGCTAAATACTCACTACCAGAGGATAGTTGCTGAAGGAATCCTCCCTGAAGGGGGTACGAAAGGCATCGGCACTTATTATGCCTTACGCACGGTGTTCGTATCAAGTGTTCCTTACTAAAAGACACACGAACAATGAATGCTTACTACGAGGATCCTTACGGAAGGGTTCCTTACTCACGGCGTCCTCAATAAAGACTCATCATTGGGGGGGTCCATAATAGGAATTCATTACAACAGTATCCGCACCATCGAATGATTACCAAAAGCATCCTCTTAACCTATCCCAAACCAAGCGGAAACCGGCTCAGGATGCCTTGTTACAGAGAAAGGGCATTATCGCGACCGAAGCATTACGACAGACATTTAACTTAGCATCTCTCGCTGAATGAACGCTCGCTATAGGGAACCCTGCGACGTTTGCAGGGTAGCGGCCGACTCGGGCGCGGCGCCTTCGAGTTCAGCTGGCGGACGATGCCCCGGGAGTTCCACTCCCGGACCGGGGCGGGGGGCACGGTGAACCTGGAGGAAGTGGGGCGGCGGGGGAGAGGGGAGGGGGGTGGACCGGGAGTACAGGATGGGGATAGAGGGGGGATTGGGTGGGGAGAGCAGGAGGAGGAGGAGGAGGAGGAGGAGGAGGAGGAGGGAGGAGGAGGAGGAGGAGGAGGAGAGGAGGAGGAGCAGCAGCAGGAGCAGAAGTCGGGAGTAGAGTGCGCGGCGGCGAGTGCGTCCCTCGACGCCGCGAAGCTGCAGCCCGTGCGGCGCGGCGCCCCCCCCCGCCGCCGCCGCCGCGGGCGCTGGCGGCGCCCGCCCGCGGGCCTCACGCCTCGGCAGGCCGCGCCAGCCGCCCTGCAGCCGCCGCGCCGCTGGCCGAGCCCCCGACGGCGCACCGGGCCTCGGCGCCCCTCGCGGGGCCCGCGCCGCCGCGCCGCCGCCTGCCGCCGCGCTGGGCCACGGCGCCTGCTGCTCGAGCGCGCCTCGGCTGGCAGCGCCGGCCGCCCTGCGGCCTCCGCGCCGAGAGCCGTGCCAGCGGCGGCGCCTCTGGGCACCGACGCGCTCCACGGGGCTCGCGCCTCCTCACCGCCGCTGGCAGCCGCTCTGGGCAGCGGTGCCAGCTGCGCAGGATCGCCGACGTAGGTGTGCGTCAGCGGGTGGCGAGGATGAGGTGGGAGAGGGGGAGGGGGAGAAGGAGGAGGAGGAGGAGGAGGAGGCGGAGGAGGAAGAGGAGAAAAAGGTAGAGAAGGAAAGGGAGGAGGAGGTGGAGGAGGAGGAGGAAGGGAAGGACGGGGGAGGAGGGGAAAGACGCAGGAGAAGGAGGAGGAAGGGAGGTGGGAGGGGCCGGGGGGCTCGGTCGCCTCCTTCTGCGTTCGGCATTGCAAGACGGTTGTCTAAGAGACCCATGTCAAGATTAGTGGCATGGAGGTTGCCCGTGCGGAGCTGTTCAAAGACGGATGGAAGATGGTCGGCACCCCTGCATCGGCATCAGCGTCCCCATCTTCTGGCTCCAGGGGTGGTGAGTGAGTTGTACACAAAAGGCACATTGCAGCCACCTCCTGGGAGCGGCTCCGCTCAGCCAGACCGAAAGCTATTGAGGGGTTTTGTCCCAGCACCCTGCATCTCAAGCGTGGCAATGTTGTGCCGTTGTCGGCCTACCTATTCCCTGGGCCCAAAACAGGTGGCATCAATACTCCCCGCATTCGTTCCATCAGCAAGTTTGTCTGCTCGCTGGCTGACCCCTGGATCATTTGTGCAGACTGGAATTTGGAACCAGATGAGCTGACCAAGAGCGGCCTTCTCGAAGTGTGGGACGAGGAGATTGTCACCCCCAGCGGATGCAGTGCGACTTGTACCCTTGGCAGTGTCTCTATGATCGACTACTTGGTTGTCAAGAGGGGTTTTGCAGACCAACTTAGAGTCAAGCCTTTCACGTTAGTCCCATGGAAGACACACGTTGCCCTGGATATTGAGCTCCTTTCTGGCCACGCGGATTGGCGGCATCAGGTTTTGGATTCTCCTATTGAGCTTCCACAAAGGCCCGGGCCCAAGAGGGCGTCAGACCCCGACAATAAGCGCTCGCGGCGCCGCGAGGAAGCTTGAGTTCGCAGACGAGAACGACTCAGCGCCGAACTGCAGGGTGCCTTCGACGAGGTCAATCCTCCTGATGATGAGGTTCCTGATGATGAAGCTGAGCAGGTACCCTTTTGAGTGGAGTCGGACGCTTGGGCCGCTGCTGCCTCTGAGGTTCGGCCTTGGACACGTACCTGCTCGGACTCGAAGGCTTGGGCTTTCCCTGCAGGCGCGGCAGATGACGTCCAGTCCATTTCCCAGTCTTATCAACGCTGGGTATCTACCTTGGAACTGGCTATATTACGTACCGAAGGCATTCCATCCGACCAACAGGCCCAGTACATTGGACGTGGCGATTTGCATGGCCTTACTCGGCGCAGGCTACAGCCGTCTCCTGGGCGCACCCATATGCGTAACCCTACTATGGAGTTTTGGTGGGCGATGTCGTCGTTGGTCACACGTTACACCTCCCTGCGCCGACACGACAGGGACCCCTTGCAGCAAGAGGCCCTGGCTACTTCAATTTCCAGCCTGGTTGACCAGGCCGAGGCCCAGCCGAGGGCCGTTCTATTCGGCCCCAGGGCCGTTCTATTCGGCCCCAGGGCCCCGAGTGGTTTGATGTGGCCTGTCTCATCTTTGGACCACCTCTGGACGTCGAAACCCTGGAGCGGTTTGGCGAGGTCACGGAGACTTGGCGCTCGCGGTCCTGGGGTAGGGCCTTAGTGTCCTCGGGCGCCGCCTACGTCAAGTGGGCCAGGGACTGCTGGCGCACCAGACCATCTGTGGTCCACCGGCACGTTCGCGACCCTCAGAAGCCTGCAGCGCTTGAGGTTCCCGGCGATGGACCCGAGGAGGCCACCGGTGACCCTGACAAGCTCATGGAGCACAAGCTGCAGGCGTGGCGGACTATCTGGACTGATCCGCATGCGTCTCGCGAGGACCTGTGCAAGGGTATGCAGTTGCTGCTCCAGCACGCGCGTGGCCACCCCATCAGCGAGCTTGAGGACGATTGCATCATGAGAGTTGTCTCCAGGATGGCCCCCATCAAGGCTCGAGGCGCGGGCGTCCTCAGCCTCATCGACATTCAGAGGCTGCCGACCGAGGGGCAGCAGCAGTTCGGCGACGTGCTGCGTGAAGCTGAGAGGGTAGGCTCGTGGCCTGTCCAGCTTTTGCTTGCTGTGGGAGCGACCGTCCCGAAACCTTCAGGAGGTGACAGGGTTATCGGTGTTTTGCCAACCTGCATGGGAGTCTGGTCCAGAGCTCGGGCCCCGATCACGGACCAGCGGTCCCAGGACCTCGGTGAGTTTTGGGGGGCGGCGATCCGAGGGTCCTCGGCTCTCAGAGCGGCCATGCAGAGGGCCATCTTAGATGAGTCCTCCTTCCAGCTGGGTTTCATTTCGGCCTCCCTCCTCCTCGGCCTCGAAAAATTGTATGACCACGTCAGCATGCTGTTGCTTATGCGTGTTTCGGTCGAGCAGGGCCCCCCCTCGATTGTCACCCTTTTAGAAGTGCAGATGTCCCTTGCTCCCAGGATCCTTCGGTCCAGGAACAGCTCCTTGGATTTAGCTTTTCCCACCCGTTCCATTGTTGCAGGATCTGCGCGCGGTGTCAAACTCGCCAAGGTTTTCCTGGGTCCGATTTTGTCGGCCGCCCACGCGGCTCCGGGGGCCCGTGCCCTCGCCTCCTCCGCGGGCCTCTGGACCTTTGTTGATGACACCGTGGCGCGGGCCGAGGGTGCTGAGGAGAATGTTGTTGCTCAGCTCTCCACGGTTGGCCAGTCTTTCGCCCGATCGTTTGCCTTGCATCAACTGCCCGTTTCGCCCAAGACCAAGGTCATTACATCCTCTCCTAAGGTTGGCAAGCGCATTGTGGCCAACCTGAGGGGGGTAGACGTCCCAGCCTCCTTGGCGGTCCAAGCTGTTGACCTGGGTTGCGACACGGGAGGCGGGGCTCGTCGGGTGGTCGTTAAGCTCTCGGACCGTCAGAGGAAGGCCCGTCCACGAGCACAGCGCATTCGACGCTCGCGACGCCACGCCAAGGCGGCCAAAGTTTTCCAGGGGCTCTGGTTACAGGGGGCGCTTCCCCAGGCCGTTTATGGCCATCAGGCCATGGGCCTCTCCCCTTCATCAATCCGTGCCTTGAGGCGTCAGGCGTCCCAATCTGTGGCCAGTAAAAGTCCAGGCCGTCTTGCCACGGTGCTTTCTCTAGTTTATGCAGCACGCGAGCCCTTTCACCGCTTTGAGGGCTCAGGTTTTATTCACGTGGTTTGACATGCGGAATCGGCTCCCTGAGCTGCATGCCCGCATCGCCCGCTCGTGGCATCACATTCGGGGCCGCCTAGACCTTCTGGCCTCGAAACGCTGGCGTCGGGTGAGGGGTCCGATCGGGGCCGTCGTCGCCACGTTACTTGACGTCGGCTGGAAGCCTGTGTCCCCCGTTGAATGGCACAGACCTGTGGGCGACCATTATGAAGTTTGGCACTTTCCTGATCGAGGCGACATTGAACGTCTTGAGGGCGACTTTGATGTCGCTGAATTGGTCGACGATTTCAGGGAAGATTTGAATGCTCTCTTGTGGGCTCAGGCATCGTCCCATCCTCACGGCGACGACCTGGCCGAGGGGGCTGACCTCCAACCCTTGCGCCAGGAGCTGAGACGTCTCGAGCGCCGGGATCAGTATGAGCATGTAGGCCTTCTCACGACTGTCGTGTCAGGGGGCCAGTGGACCCACGTCCGCCAACTTGAGGCGGGGTATGCTGTCGCCACTACCTGTCCCCGATGCGGGTTGGCACCCGGCACGCTGTTTCACAGAGTGTGGGAATGCCCTAAGAATTGCAATCATGAGGCCTTTGAGCTCTCTGACGGCCTCTGTCACCAGGCCAGAGCGGGCCACGAGGCTAACCCCGCCTTGTGGCTCCGTGGACTGCCTCCTAGGTCTTTAACCTGCCCTGTGTTCAAGGACGGTGGGGCGGATGTGGCTTGGGAGGTGGGGTCGTCGCCGTCGGTAGTCGAAGGATCCTCTGTCGCTGCGGCCAGGTCCCCTTCGGGGCTCCTGCGGGTCTTTGGAGATGGCTCTGGAGGCGCCTTCAGCTCCGACCCTCGCCGCCGACGTGTCGGCGCGGCCGCTGTGTTGGTGGCCTGGGATGGCACCAAGTGGTGCCGACTAATGGGTTGGGCTTCCACCATCTCAGGCCGCCGTCAGACGGTCCCCAGGGCTGGGCTGTTGGCCTTTGAGCTGGCTCTCCGCAACGTCCCAGGGGATTTTGAGTATGTAACTGACAACCAGCCCCTGTTAGAGGGGTGGCGGCGGCGCCGTTTCCTCCACAACAGTGGTGTGAATTCGGATCTTTGGTTTCGTATCCGCTTGGCCCTTGAGGGCCGCGAGAACGGGATTTCTGTTCTGTTGGCCCCCTCCCACCTGGATCCCACTGACCCCTCCTTGTCGGAGTACCAGGT